CAGCCATGGCGTTTCCAAAATCGCATTGTATATTGCTGGCTTGTTGAGGACTAAGAACTTGATCATTCGGGCCGACCCGCCGACATAGATGGGTATCTTCACCGTTCCTACTGTTCTTGTTTTCTCTCCGGTGAACCCGGTCAATAATTCCATGTAAGGCTTGATCTTGGAATCCGGAAAGTCCATATTCTTGAGTGTTTCTTTGAATATGACTTTTACCGAACTCCCCGTGTCGATTAATATCCTGCTTACTTCGACATCTCCGAGTTGAAGCTCAACGACGAGACAATCATTATGAGGCATATGCACTCCCTGCAGGTCGGCGTCGGTGAATAACAGTGGTACGGTTGTGACCGTTGTCTGGGGTTGCGAACTCGATGCCTGCCGGCTATACTCTTTCAGGGTTCGGATGGAGTAGTTGCATGATTCGAGGGCTCCCATAATCATATTGACCTTCTTCCTGGTTTTTGGTACATTCGTTTCTCTATTAGGTGCTTCGCGGTCTCGTTTAGGGGGAGCGACCTACTCTTCATCAGAATCGGCTGCCTTGGCAGCCTCTTGATTGCAGGGTTTGTTTGATTGCGGGTTCGGCCGCCGGGGTCCGGGTTTAGGCAAATCTGTAATGTCGATCTCGCCCTTGCAGAACTGTTGAAGTAAGTGTTGGTGGTACGCTCCGCTACCCGGTTCAGACTGGTTAAAGACCGAGACCGGCCCAATTGATCCCGGTTAACGACAGTCTTAGCCGAAATGGGCCTGGCCTGACAGCATGGCCCATAAGGAGACAGACCCATCAACAAGAGGCGGTGAGAGTCGACCGCGAAACCCTAAATCTTCTCCTCGCTTATGTACTATAAATAGAAGGATAGTTACTGTAGAAGGGATCTTTTTTTTTGGACCCGGGAGACATAGAGACCTCAATGTTATTGTATCTAGTTCGTCGAGAGGACCTCCGAACTGAACGAACTGCAAACTTGAAACTTAATTAAATAAAATCAATCTTCCGAACTCGAATTACCGAACCAACCCTAAATAGTTGAGAACGAACATGCGTCATCAGCCCCTTTCAGGAAGACCGTGCGGCTGCAGTAAGCCAGTTTGGACCACCTAAGCAGAGCCGAGTTGAACAAGTCGGCATCGACCCGACAGATCCAGAAAAATGTGTCGGCATAGGGGCCGAACTCGACAACAATATTCGGGAAGCACTCATCGGTTTCCTCCAGAAGAACGTCTCCACATTCGCATGGACCATCAGCGACATGCCCGGAATCAATCCAGATATCACTTGCCACGAGTTAAATATCGATCCTACATACAAACCTATCAAACAGAAGAGACGCAAGCTCGGACCCGAGAAAGCACGAGCAGTTAACGATGAGGTCGAAAAATTGCTCAAAGCCGGCTCGATCACGGAGGTTTGATACCTGGACTGGCTAGCGAACTCGGTAGTCGTGAAGAAAAAGAATGGAAAATTGAGAATTTGCGTCGACTTCACCGACCTGAACAAAGCTTGTCCCAAAGATAGTTTTCCACTACCACACATTGATCGATTGATAGAGGCGACTGCCGGCAACGAACTGTTATCTTTCATGGACGCTTTCTCAGGGTACAACTAAATACTAATGCATCAGGATGATCGGGAAAAGACCTCGTTCATCACAGATCGAGGAATCTACTGCTATAAGGTCATGCCCTTCGGCCTCAAGAACGCGGGGGCCACGTATCAAAGACTTGTGAACCGCATGTTCGCCAGTCAGCTCGGAAAAACGATGGAGGTATACACTGACGACATGCTAGTTAAATCCCTGTACGCCAAGGACCACATATCGCACCTATCAACATGTTTCGACATTCTGAACGAATACGGGATGAAACTCAATCCCGCCAAGTGCACCTTCGGCGTAACAGCAGGCGAGTTCCTCGGTTACATCGTCACCGAGCGCGGCATCGAGGCAAACCCAAAGCAGATATCCGCGGTATGGACCTACCTTCCCCGACTTCAAAAAGGGAAGTGCAAAAACTCACAGGCTGGATCGCCGCTCTGAACAGATTTATCTCCAGGTCGACTGATAAGTGCCTGCCTTTCTATCAGTTGTTACGAGGTAACAAGCATCATACTTGGAGCGCCGAGTGCAAAGACACCTTCAAGCAGCTGAAAACGTATCTCTCGACTCCCCCCATCCTAGCTAAGCCCGAGAACGGTGAGATGTTATTCTTATACATCACAATTTCCACATTGGTGGTTAGCAGTGTTCTAGTCCGCGAAGACAGGGGGGAACAGCGTCCAAATATTTCTATGTGTTGTAGATCGCTAAAGTTGACGCCGAGGTCAGATATCTCGAACCTTAGAAAAAGTTGGGCGCTCGCGGGGGGGTTTCCTGCTCGGAAAACTTTCGGCCCATACTTTCCAATCTCATTCGATCAACAGTCTTGACCGGACCAGGCCGCTCCGCTATCAGCTGGACCGAGCGGGAACGTTGTCGACCTCGTTCCCTTCACCGGCTTCATTATCATCGCCGACCTCGAGGCCGACGATGTCGATCAGGGCATTGTCCTCCTCGTCAGCCCCGAAGTTCATCATCGGGATGTCCGATTTAGAGAGAAAGGAGAGCAAATACCTTGGCAGTAGGAGCGAAAGTAAGAAATGGGGAGAGCTGAGCCCTATTTATAGAAGAAGAGCGAATCATTGCGACTTCTCGAGTTCCGCGCCACGTAACGTCTCGATTTCCCGCCTAAACCGACACGACTTTTCAGTTTCCCGCGAGCGAAAATACCTTAATACCCTTGCCGAAACGTCAGAGGAAAGAGTAGGGGTGTAAGTCGAGAATCTGATGTCACTGACCTCGGTCATTAGCCACTCCAACTTCAATTCGGCAAAAGTCAGTCAGGTCCATTTACTGAACTGGGGGGGACATACTGTTAATGGTACGCTCCGCTATCCGGTTCGGACCGGTTAAAGACCGAGACCGGCCCAATTGATCCCGGTTTACGACAGTCTTAGCCGAAATGGGCATGGCCTGACAGCATGGCCCATAAGGAGACAGGCCCATCAACAAGAGGCGGTGAAAGTCGACCGCAAAACCCTAAATCTTCTCCTCGCTTATGTACTATAAATAGAAGGATAATTACTGTAGAAGGGATCTTTTTTTTTGGACCCGGGAGACATAGAGACCTCAATATTATTGTATCTAGTTCGTCCAGAGGACCTCCGAACTGAACGAACTGTAAACTTGAAACTTAATTAAATAAAATCAATCTTCCGAACTCGAATTACCGAACCGACCCTAAATAGTTGAGAACCACAATCAACAGTAAGAAGTCCCTCAGATGTCGGCACTCCTCCGTGTTGTGCCCATATCGTTCGTGATACTCAAAAAATCGTTCACTTAGCGGCGTATCATCTTCTCTATTCCACGTGTTCCAGGATTTCGGTGGCCGTCCTGACTTATGGTTTGACGGTCCTGCTTGGTTCACTACTCCGCGTGGCTTGCCGGACTGGACTTTTGTTTCCGAGTTATCTTTGGTGGTTAAGGTCTGGTCGGGCTTTGACGCTGAGTATTGCCGATCGTTGGCGGCTTCTTCCTCTTCTTCCGCGATGAAGATGTTCGATTTGTGAAGCGCGTCCTCTAGTGTGAGCGGTCTGTTCCTGCAAAGTTCTTTATGAAAGGGTGATTTGTACCATGTTTTCTGGTATAGAGCTTCGAGGGCGGCTTCATCGTCCACCGTGCAGTGCGCCACGATCTGCTTGAAACGCGCCATGAAGTCTCGGAGTGATTCGTTTTCACCCTGTGATATCTCCCACAGCTCGGAGTTACGGGTTTTCTGCCCGATGAACATCGATAAATGCTTTGCAAACTTAGTCAAAAGCTCCTTGTAGTTATCAATGGAGTCGGCTTCCAATCTTGAGAACCAATCTAAAGATATGCCTTTGAGGTGTTCGACGAACAATTGGCATTGGATCGCGTCCTTCTGCTCGGCCGAGGTGAACTTCAGTCGGTTGATCACGATGCCGAACGAGGTAAGAAAATGCCTCGGGTCCGAGTTTCCTTCGTATGAACGTAGTTTAAACTTTTCTAGGTTGGGGACGGGGACGTTGGTGATTCGGGAAGTGAACGGTGTTTTCTGTGCTTCCTGGATTACGCGGTCAATTCAGTGCCGAAACTGATGGCTGATGGAAATTGGAACTGATCTCTCGCA